GCATTAGGCGTGACACCTATAATTCATTAAATAGTCATTAGTACAACTGGATCTCATCTTTCCAACCCACTTCATCAATAGGTACTACATTTCCTTTCTTTCTGTTCCTTTTCTCTCTCTTCTTTTTCCGTTATGTGCTGCTTTGTCTCTTTCTCTCGCTTACGCCAGTTGATAAGACAGCTCCCACTTTTCTAACACCTTCAAACACTGTTTCAGCTTTACCTTTGCTACTGAACATGCCAATGTATTGTTGTAATAATGAACTGTGGTTTCCTCAATCTATGTAGAATTCTATTTATTGATAATGTACTAACTGGATGCAATACTGTAGTAAAAATGCTGAGAATTCCATTCTGTATCACAAGTGCTGTTTTGGAATAAAGCAAATTATTATTATTATTATTTTTCAAACCACTGAAGATTGCATGACTGCAATTCAGAACATATATTTATTTTATATTTTATTATAGCTTGATTCCACACAGTACAAGTAAGAAATTTTCAGCATGTGATGTCGGTAGCCCTAATTTAGCAGTCCCACCATAGATATCAGGTGTGCGTGGGCGGGGGATCGAACCTCGGAACATGTGCATGGTCGGCGACATTCCTAACCGCCGTACCACCGACGCACAGCGTGACTGCAACTCAATATCACCGGTGAGAATCTGTCGTCCTGCTGAGCTTGGTGATTTCTAATGGACAAGACTTCGCACTAGGACTTCAGATAGAAATTCACAACTGAAATCTGTTGAAAATAAAACTTGAAACCAATCATTCCCTGACTACCCACACCTAAGGATTCATATAACTGAAGTAATCCTACGAATTCTAACTCCAGTCCTGCCAGCGTTCTTTGGTTGTTGAGAAAATTTGACTTCGCAACACATTTTCTTGTATGAATTAGGCATACTTCAATATTCAACTTACTAACTGACATAACGACTCATTTAAACACTATGTGACGTTTATTTCTTCAATGAATCAAATCAATAAGTTTGGCCATTGTTTGGTATCAGATAGAAAACAATAGGAAATCAGTAAGGAATAATTCACAGTCAGCCGTTTAATCGTAGTTTGAGGCCGATAATCAGCTCGGAATCAGAGGAATTCGAACCCAGGTGAATATAAGTCAGAAATCATGGTTGATTGAGTCGAGTCACATTGGCTAGATGGTTCTCAGGGATTTGTAGCTATGCGTTAAGTGTACTTTCACATTATTCATTAAGCTTTCTGAAGTCGAAGTACAAAATATGCGGTCTTCATAGATTGAGTGAGTTCGATTGTTCTCAGTTAGTAGGGGAGACTAAGAACTGAATGGTTGGTGAATATGCTTGACAACACATTTAGCCAGATACAGTTAACGAATGGTAGATTAAGAGTAAGTGAGTTAGTTTGTCCATTATATATGAATCGACAAAGAGCGATATATCCTTTCTTCAACTGTGTACTACTGAAGATACAAATCAAAACAATCACCAGTGGGGCGAAATGTACCGTCGTCAACATTGCCAGAACAGATAAGAGAGCTTGTAAAATAAGGTATGCTACACACTGAAATAAATCAGTTCTTTACTATCACACCGAAAACCTGCGCATCGCAAATACTTTAATAATCATGATTGCCCTCTAGTGTTACATTTGGAAGATATGCTTTGAACAGCACATCTTCAAATTATCCTATAAGATGTTGTTCTCTTCGGCACGTCTCCACGATTGTCTATAATCTCTCATCTCCTGAACTCACACCATCTTACTTATTTCAACTGCTGACACATGCTCAAATCTCCATTTCAGAACAAGCGTCCACAACGTGTGACCGATTAAACCCTGTCTCCGTCTGAACATTTCTTTAGTTGTTTTCTTCGTTGGTTTCTTCCCACACTTTCGTTTTTCTAAACAGACTTGGAGCACCATCTGATGTTCAAAAAGGTGCTGGGGAAGTCAGCTGTTGAACATTATCTGCAGCTGGTAGTTCGATGTGCTTCTCAATACGCGTGCATCAAGTTTCTGTCTCATAATGAAGAAGTGACGAACTGACTGACTACGTGAAAAACACTTGGACGCAGTCTGAAGCTCTTCACTAGTATGCACACATCATTCCATCAGGGATGAGGCCAGAATATTTCAGATGACAAGATGATCTCAGTCACTAGAGCAGAACTATACATGTCGGAAATATATAGCACCACTGCTATCCAATCTCATCGACGATGAGGATGCGTTCTCACAGTGGTCAGAAATACTAACTGGAATTCACAATAATTTCATCTTGGAGTGTGTCAGTCAGTCACCAGTGTAAATTATCATGACTTCCAAGGAGTGATTGATTTATAAGCCAGATACGAGGTGAAACAATAAATTCATTCAGTCATTTACACTAAGTGAATAAATTTGAATTACCTGATTTTTCAAAACGTATGACATATGGAATGTCACGTGATTCAATCGCTTCAAAATTGACTACGCACAGACTGATGAATATGATGAGGTTCAATTTTGTCATCTGGAACACAATTTCACTGAAAAAAGATAGTAAAAGGAAGATCAATGACATTCAATTCGATGTAATTTGAAATGAATGACAGTCAGTGACTTTTACAGTTGCTTTGGATTCCGAGTGAAACATACGGATTCAAAAGCACATCTCAGAATTTCCTCTTCTCTAGGGTCTGCTGCAATGTGGCCACCTCTCAGCATCTCCAGGCCACACGATCTCCCACACTGCATCGTCAGACCCACGCACATCTCGTAGTTTCCATTTTAGCTGGCAATCGAACGATTTTCTGGTGAGCAAAAGATGGCGAAATTAATCACAGTGTAATACGTGATCTGCTAGATACGCCTAATAGTAATCGAAGAGACAAGCATATGTGCATCACATCGTATGCTAATGACTGATTGAGACACACACAAGGATCAGAAAGTTGTGCTCCCCAGCTAGCAAGCTAGTTTGTTGTGATCCTAACACAGAGGCTGTTACTCTCATTTGGATCTCAAGACGTCACCATCAAATCTGGTCCTACCTGTGAGCAATGTCTTGATGTGATTATGAGCGGCAATAAATTGTGCTTGAAACGTCATCAGTATATATTACTGTATAACACTATAAGACGTTTTGAAAATAAATTTCACCCATAATAGAATTATACTCTACCACAGTCCACAGGCTTCATACATATATCAAGGATCCGGAATACACTTGAGCGACCGTGGAATAACATCACTCGCAAGGCCATCGGTCGAGGGGGAATCCAAATGAGGAGCGACAAGTGAGTCGTCTTACAGTGTTATGGTGGATGTCGTACGAGCGAGAGATGACAGATTATGGTTAATCGCGGACTCAGCTGAAGAAGACGACAGAAGACAGACCAGGGTGGAGACGTGTTGCTCAAGCTCCATGTTTCACTCGAAAACCGATAGAATGAAACTTGATGATTTATCGGTTGAGTGTGAAGCAGAAATCAGCCATAGTCAAAGTGGACAGTGATCAAGGTTCCCGTTGATTATACTTTCGCTTCTAGCGATGATGACTACACGAACACAGTGTTTTGTCTTCTTTCACTTTCGATTTGACATGCAGCCAAGTAAGTGAGCACAAGCCTATTTAAAAACACGTCATTATCTACAGTTGAGTCTCTGATTAATGGCGACTATCGATTTCAGCTTATACCGGTAATTTCGAGTGAACTGAGGCAGTGAAATTGAAGTCAAAAAAGAAAAACCAAGTAACAATATTGAAAATGTGGAAATTCGAAACATCAAACAAGTCGTGGAGAATTCTAGAAATTCCAGTGGTCAGATGAACCAGAGATAAACATCTTCATGCATTGAAATATGGATGACGTTTATCAAGTTTGAAAGAGTAAGGTAGATTTCTTCTAGAATATAAGGTCAAATTCTGAGACGAAAATGCTCAATACTATTGTCGTATATGTATCAGACATATAAGACACGTAGCTGAAATTTGGACAGATGAAGACCAACTCACTGGCAGAAGAATCACCCTGCGCATAGAAGACGTCAAGTTAACACAGAAGAGATGGAGATGAAGAACCGAAGCATATATCCAAACAACCAGCCAACACCAACAACAAGCACCAATCAATCTCAGCGGAATAAATTTGGAATATGTCTCTTCCCTTACTTAACTACACACCATCATTGTGGCTACAGGCAGGCAGAAAGGATGAGAATGTCAAAGCGAAATCTGATCGAAAATATATGATAAACCCTCATACTCACACTTAAATTTATTCGGAAGACTACCCATGGAACCACGACCTCTGCCACATCGATGCCACCTATCCTCGACTGAGTGTAATCGAACAGAGTGTCTTACACAGTGGTCGAAACTCTTCATGGATTATCTAACGAAGGATGAACACCACTGGAGACGCCTGAGACTACTGTCACTCGTTAGGGGATAGATGATTTCATTACGAAGTTAAATCATAGACAACAGACAACAAATAAGAAAACAGATTTTTATTGCTGCTCAAAAACTGCATGTGTGCAATTATTCCATTGGATCACTGCAACTAACTGAAAAGCGAATGTCATCACTTTGATCTAAATTAAGATATATGACGTTGGCAGTTGATGAGTCTACAATAGACAGTGAACTGAGGAATATAATTCAGCAGACAGCGCATCTACATTCCGTTTCGTCTTTTTCTTATGTAGAAAAAACCTCTAAATTTCGTAACTGCTTTGCCTAAAGAACACCAAAATCACTGGCATAAATTAGAGAGATGGAATATTCACTGATGACACACTCAATTGACGTTCCCAGAACATCATTACTCGACAAATACACCAAACTATATAAAACTAACTCCCACGAACTGCAAACAATATCAACATTATTTCAGAAAAAGACTTATCAAAAGGGATTCCACAATGAAATTTTAAAAAATTGAAGATTTCAAAGATATTAACCTGAAAACTTATGCGATTCTACAATACCACACTAATTTACACATTACTTAAGATTTGCTCACCTGGGGTTTTACTATGCCCAATACTTTATATGACTGTAACTTACGAATGACCTGGTGTAGATGCTTAGGCCCTTTGAGGAGAGACTGACGAGAAACAATCTCTGCAATATTCGTGCATGTATATGGTGTCTTTTGAAAACGAGAGTCTGAATCTTTATCAAACGTTTATTAAAAATAACACAATATACATTTTATAAATATTCACACAACTGGAACTCACCCGCAATGTATGCTGAACAGTCACTAACTAACTTGACACTGATAGAATATTTCGTTGGAGTATTTATACCAGTAATGCATGACATTCTTTCATTCATTGGCTACATCCACTAACCAATCAGAAAATTGACAGCTTGTGTTTGTTTAGCTTTGTGTGATGAGCCATTATTCAGTTTTATTTTGATTCATCTGGCCTAAAAACAAAACAGTGATGATATTTACGAAATTTTATTTTACACAGGCACATCCATTATTTCACATCAACTAGATATTATAAGAAGGAATTTGGTGAATGGTAAATAGTTGAAGAATCGATGATGTGCTTGATGCACCTTAAAGGAAAGATGGTGATGGTCGTGGCCTCAGTATTCTAGTGGATAACGCATTCACCTTTAGAAAGATGAGTAATACGTTTGAAATATCACTGTGGACAGCACCATAAACTGGTACATACAGGCACTGAGTTTCAAAAAGGTGTAAATGGGCATCGTGGATACGATTACAATGACAGTACACAACCTCTGTGTGTGGTTGCGGCTACAAATCGTGAGTAATTTGCCACGGAGTCAGGTCTCACTGATTGAACGCACTAAGAGCCAGCTTTAATTGTTACCGGAAAGCCGGTGTTCAGAACCTTGTCGGTGACTAAATACATCTAATACTAGAATGACGCAGCCGCTCTCCTATCCCAACAAGTGCTTTTGGTTGCTGAACAATGCATTTCACTATGTGATTCATTTTCAAATACAACTCAGTCAACAAAAGCAAACTCATGTGAAGAATCTGAAATTGATTTAAAAACAAATGACTATCGTAAGGCTATCCATTTCACGGCATAGGATTATTATCATTATTATTATTGTTTCCTTGGGTTCCTAGTGGAACCTACGGCTTCAACTGCACGCCTCCACTTGCTCCTTCCTTCTGCTGTACTTTTTACTTGCATCCATTTTAGTCCATGCTGTTTCAACTCCTCTTCACACCATCTCCTCCATGTCACAATCGCACGTCCCACTCGCCTCTTTTCTTTCGGGTTCCACTCGAACACTGGCCTGACGCGCGATGTCACCCAATGGCCTCCTCAGTGAGTGTTTAATCCATCTCCACTTTCTCCTGCATATTTCTTGGGCGATTGGTTCTTGTTTCGTTTGTCCCAATAGTTTCATGCTGGTGATTCTTTCCGGCCATCTGATCTCCAGTATAGAGCGAAGGCAGTTGTTGATAAAGGTCTGCAACAGGCTGTTGGAAATATTCTTGGTGACCCGCTAAGTTTCAGATCCGTATAGACGAACTGACTTGACTGACGTTTGTATTGAAAATCCGAATTTTGTTGTGGATGCTGAGTGACGAAGAATCACAGGTTGGTTTCAAGTTGATGAATGTGTTTCTCGCCTTCCCGATTCTCGATTTAACATTCTCGTTCATTCCTCCTGCAGTTGAGACGATGCCTTCTAGATAAGTGAGTGAAGTAACCTCTTTCAAATCCCTCCCGTTGATGGTGATTGGCGATGGATGTTGCTGTTGTGGTTGTTGTTAGTTGGTTATTTTCATAACCTCCGCCTTGTCTATGTTCACCTTGAGTCCTGTCTTTGCTGCTCCTTCGACCGATTTGTCGGTTTTCGCTTGTAAATCTTCGATTTTGTGTGACATCAAACATAAATCATCTGCGAAATCCAGGTCTTCTAGATTCATCACGTTGGTCCAGGATATCCCTGTCTTCTCGTTTCCCACTGTCTGACGCATAATCCAGTCCACCACAATTAGGAATATCATTGGTGATAATAAGCAGCCTTGTCTGACTCCTGTGTTTACTCCAAACGCTTCGCTGAGTTTTCCGTTGTGGATCACTTGACATGTGCCGTTGTCGTACAGTTGTTGAATAAGGTTGATGAATATTTGGGGTACGCCGTAGTACTCGAGTATTTTCCAAATCTCTTTCCGGTCGACGCTGTCAAAGGCCTTCTCAAAGTCTATAAAGTTGAGGTAGAGATTTGATTGCCATTCCATGCTTTGTTCGATGATGATGCGTAGAGTTGCAATTTGGTCAGAACATGATTTGCCTTTCCTGAATCCAGCTTGTTCTGGTCGGAGTTCTGTATCCAGTGCGTCCTTTATGCTCTCCAGGATGATGCGACTCAGGATTTTACTAGGCGTTGACAGGAGCATGATTCCTCGCCAGTTCTTGCAGAGTCCTAGGTCGCCCTTCTTTGTTAGTTTCACGAGGTCACCTTTCCTTCAGTCATTTGGCACCTATTCCTCCTTCCAGACATTTTGCAATAATGGAGTCAGCATATCTGCTGTCGTCTCTGGGTCCTCTCTCAGTGTTTCAGGGGGTATTCCATCTGGTCCAGCTGCTTTTCCAGCTTTCAAAACCTTGATTGCATTCATGACTTCAGTTTTCGTTGGAGGGTTGGTGTCAACTTGCAGTTGTGCATGTGCTGTTGTTGGTATTTCTGGACAGGTTGCAGGTGATTGACTGTTCAAGAGTCCTTTGAAGTGGTCTGCCCATGGTTTAATTTGTCTTTCTTCCTTAGTAACTGGGTCCCTTTGGCTGTCTTTTATAGGTTTCACTTGTGTCGATCTCTTCCCGGATAGAGACTTGGTTATCTAATATAGTGTCCTCAGGTCCCTTCTGCCTGCTGCCTTCTCAGCTTCAGTGGCCAGGTTGTCGTAGAATTGTCTTTTGTCCTTCCTGGCACTCTTCTTCACTTCTTTGTCCAGGGCTGTGTAAGTTGAGCTCAGCGTCTCTTTCTCTTTTCCGTCTTTGCATTGAATTATTTTCTCTTTCACCATTCTTCTCTCCCCTATTAGCTTCCATGTGTCCGTTGAGAGCCATTCCTTGTCTTGTCTCTTCTTTCTTCCTAAAACCGTTGAACACGTTTCGTTGAAAATCACTTTCAGAGAGTTCCAATGGTCTTCCACGGATGATTCCTCAGTGGTGCCATGTAGTGTTTCCTGCTTTGCTCTGACAGTTGCAGTGAAAATTTCCTTTGTGGTTGTGTCCTTCAGTTTCTGCGTGTTAAACTTGCATTGTGGCCTATCCTCAGCTATCCCGGAGGCTTTCAGCTTCACCTTGAAAGTCCTTTGTACTAGATAGTGGTCTGAAACCACATCTGCTCCTCTCCTCGATCATGTGTCTAGTAGGCTCCGTCTCCACTTCCTTGAGATTGAAATGAAGTCTATCTGCTTTTTGGTGTGTCCATCTGGTGAAATCCATGTTGCCTTGTGTAAATCCCAGTGTTTGAACACACTGCCACCAATCACCAACTCATTGAAGGCGCAGAAGTCAGAGAAGAGTTCGCCATTTTCGTTCATTTCACCGAGGGCCTCACGACCCATGGTGAGTTCTCTTCCTGTATTGTCTTCTCATAGCTTCACATTCATATCCCCCATCAGGATTTTGATATCGCCATTTGGGACGTTGTCCATTACTGTTTGTAGTTGACTGTAAAAATGCTCCTTCTTCTCTTGTTCTGAGACTTTGTAGGCGCATAGCACTGAATGATTGTAACCTTCCTTCCTTTTGAGTTGAACCTGGCTGTCATTATCCTGGAGGAGATTGGTTCCCACTGCATGAGAGCTTTGGCTGCTGTTGGTGACATCATGATGGCTTCTCTCTCAGTGTGCTCGTGATTGTCCTCTCAATGACCGGAGTAGATTATTGTCTCTCCAGTTGGCATTTGGCTTCTTCCACATCCGTTTCATCTGATCTTGCAGATTCCCAACACTTTTACATTATATCTTCTCATTTCTGCGGCTACCTGAGCAGCCTTTCCAGTTTCGAACAGTGTACGAATATTCCACGTCCCCATCCTTATTATTGTTTTCATCGAAAGAAGGTTAAGTTTTGAGGGTGTAGTTGCTAGCATCACGCCCCAACCCTCCCTCTTTATGCGGGCTTGGGACCGGCTACAATACTAGTGAGCTAGTAATCTAGACGAGGTTACAGTTTAGGATTAAAAATTATTAAATCGCGTCTCATATTTAGACATTCAGCTTGCAAACAGTTGATCAAACTCAATCTGTAGGCTTGTATGCCTTCGATTTCACAAGAGTGTTTACTATTTAAAACATCAAGCGAAATAGCAGCCAGTCAACAGTCTGAATCCTCATCAATTTACATGCATATCACGACAGTTTGAACCATGTCACTCCCTAGCAGTCAGAAAATATATTTCAATACCTGTCCTACAGCAAGTGAATCGTGAGCACGAACAGATGGGTGGTACCTATCTGACTACAACACTGAGTAACGTGTTTTCAAACTTCAGAGGAGTTATAAGTTCCTTGTGTGTCGCAGATATGCCTTATTGATGAGTGGCAAGAAGCACTGGGGGATGAGATACCTGCCAAGTGCCTCCAACCACCTCAAACAGGAAAAAAGCTTCTTTCCACTAGAAAGCTCTAGATTAACAGCATGAGGCAGAGGCAGTGTGAAAAATGCAGTTTACTTTCCATCGGAATATTCAGTATTCTGCTGATAACTTCTGTCATCATTTGTATAACATAGTTCTCAGAGAGTCTTGGTCTGGAGATTGTTTGATACGATTCATTATAATTCCCAACACGGGTGGTAGTCATCAGTCATATTATTGCTAAATCAGTGGAAGTGAGATATTCGGAGTGGAAGTTATCCCGATTTTAGATTCAAAGTCCTACTGCTTCCAGTGGGTACAGAAAATCGTCGATGAATGCAAACAGAGAAATAGTGTAGCGGAAGCAAGTATTGCGAATCACTCACAAACAAATATCCTGAGGACAAATTTCACGTCGATCATCATGTGTGGTTTAGGACAAACCAAATCATTTTTCAAACATTCTCACTGAGATAATGAGAACAATAAAATGTCATTCAAAATAAGTTTCTTCATCCGAATTGATCGAATCGAGCACGTCTGTGGAAATGATGTATTAAGTTCCAGGAATTCTTTGT